GTAAGGAATCTAATACAAGATTATTATAATAATTTTAACATAAAAACAACCACTGATTTAATATCTTCCGATTGGCATCAGCTAAAAAGGGAAATTATAACTGGTTGCACTATTATTTACTTTAACAAAAAAACATGTTAGTAAAATCAGCAGAGGTTGAGTGTTGAGGTCCAGTAATGAGAAATGGAGTACAACCACCCCCAATTCTTGCATATATAGATGACCTGGGCAAGAATGAATTTTAAACCGACAAAATCAAGGTCGTTAGTACTGAAGAGAGGGATTCTGACAGAAAAGTTCCATTTCAAAATTGCAAGAACTATTATCCAGTCATTAAAAGAAAAATGAGTCAAGTGTCAGGGGAAAATTTTCAATGCTAATTTAAAAGATACTGATGCTACCCATAAATGTTTTTCAGACCTCGAAGTAATGTTGAATAAAGTGGACAAATCAGGTCGTTTTAATTCATGCATATACCAACATACCATTCTGCCAAAGATACTGTGGCCATGGAGGTTATATGAAGTGGCATTGACAACAATTAAGAAGATGGAGAAAAAAGTGAGCAGATATTTGAGAAGATGGCTTGGCTAACTGAGAAGTTTAAGCAGTGCAGCTCTGTATGGAGTTTCTAATGCATTGCCACTTCCCTTCAGAGGATTAGTGGAAGAGTTTAAAGTGTCAAAGATGAGGGCAGTAATCCAATATAGGGATTCAAAAGATCCTAAAGTTGCAGAAGCCGGTATTGAGATTCAAATTGGGAGAAAGTGGAAGGTATAGCACAAGCTCAGTACAGCAGAGCAAAGGTTGAGACAGAAAATGCTAGTAGGAACAGTAGCAGTGGGAAGATCAGGCCCAGGTTACTATTCCAATCCACAAGATTGGAGAGGGAAAAAAAAAAAAAGAAGGACCATAAACACTGTCTTCTATCTGAAGTGAGAGCAAGTGTGGAGGAAATTAGATCAAGTAAAATGGTGACTATAGGTCAACAGAGGGCCTTTGACAAGATGGAGAAACCTGGAAAAATGGAAGATTTCATGGATAAATCTCTGGTACACCAATCCCTTGTGCAGGCAGGTGTATGATACACTCCCTTGTCCGGCAAACCTCCACCCGTGAGGAAAGAGTGAGTCTCCACTTTGTCCATTGTGCCAGAACAAAGGATCCCTCCAACATATATTGAGTGGTTGCCCCAAAGTGCTTAGCGAGGGGAGGTACCGGTGGCACTATGATAAAGTTTTAGGAGTCCTTGCAACAATACTATCAAGGAGTCTAAAACAAAACATATACAATCCAAATAAGACTATGATGAATTTTGTCAGAGCCAAGGAAAGAGTAAAGACAACGCAGAAAAAGAAAACATCCATCCTCAGCTCTCTGCCCTGGACTGGCAATTGAGAGTAGATATAGGCAAGCAGCTTAAATTTCTAGTGGAAATAATACAAACTATGCTTTGTTCAGACATGATTATTCTGAAATGACAAAGTAAATCATGTTGGAATTAACAGTTCCTTGGAAGAAAATATGAACAAAGCCTATGAAAGGAAGCTCGGGAAGTATTTTTTGATTGTAGAGGAATGCAAAAGACATAGTTGGCAAGCTCAGTGCGAACCAATTGAAATTGGTTGCAGAGACTTTGCAGTCTCTATGTAAGATGTTGTCAAAATTAAGTTTAACAGGTTAGGCAAAAAACAAAGAAGCTTCAAGGTGGCTTTGGTTGAAAAGAAGTGATTGGCAGTCAGTAAGGAAATGAAAGGAAGTTGCAATTTATATATACATAATTTTTTTTGGTGGGGTCCAGGGTATGACCTAAAAATACATCCAACAATGAAGTCTTGACTAGGGAACAGAATTAGGGTACCCCAAACCAAGATCTAGCACCAGGGTTACAGTATTTTTTTTTTTTTGCGTGTGTGTAGCGGCATTGATAGGTGTATAACTCATATAGGTGGAGGGTTGGGAAGGAAAAGAGAAAGAGGAAAAAATAGTGAGAGGGGAGAAGGAAAATCCCCACTTTGTCCTTTTCCTGTTGATTAAAATAAATGAAAGAGGGGATAAATGCAAGCAGAATGTGATGTTTGTGTGCATGTATATGTATTTGGGAAGTGGGGTATCAAACCTGTACTTACCACCTCAAACCAAGTAGGCCACCATATTCCTGGTCAGATACAAATTGTGGAAGAGTGAATTCTGCTGGTGAACCAGTAGTCATCCGCAATTGGGCAATAAATTGTCAAGAAGAGCCAAGATGGAAAAAGGTGTAGCCGACAGAAGGTACACAAGTCAATACCCAATCAGCATCGGCTGGGTCATCATGGAGAGGGGGTATGATGTTGATGTACTAAAGCATCCAATAGATATATTTTACAAAATATATATATATATATATATATATATATATATATATATACATGTGTGTGTGTGTGTGTGTACAATATATTATATGCACAGTATTTATTAAAAAACAAGAGAAAAAAAATATTAGAGAGAGCTAACATATTTGGTTAGATTGATGTGAGTTTGTGACCCTGGGTTTCACGCTTTTGCATTGTCTGATGATTGCAAAAGTGTGAAACCCAAGGTCACAAACTCACATCAATCAACACAATAACACTTACCATCAATATTGCTAATTTGACCAAAAACACCTTTCAATAACTTGGTCAAAAAGTTCTTATGCGCACACCATATACTGATTAAGTGCATTCAGATCATTGTTTTCACTCGTTTTCCAACAGTCTACAAAGGGCTTAATTCAATGCATTGTTGAAAACGTGGCTTGGTTCGAGTCAAGACATTGACAAGCAAGTGGAATGTTGGCAAGAATTTGCAAACAATAAGGGAGAAGGTTATTGGCAGATTTGTTATAATTATAGATAAATAATAGTATTAAAATCAGGTGTGGTGGTGGTGGTGGGGGTTGAATTTCTGACAACCCAATAAAATGTGGGGGGGGTTTGCGTGTTTGAGAAGAATAAAAAGGAAAATACTTATATTTTTTTGTAAATAGTTTTGATATTACAGACCAATTGTTGGAGACAAACTGAAAGATATTTAAAGAGGATAAAAGTTAAATTTTATTTTTGTCATATTCATGAATTTTATATATAGTTTATGTAGAGGAATGTGTAAGTTATTGACATTGAAAGCGAAATCAAGTCAAGCCCAAATTTTTGCCTACAATTGCATTCATTTACACTAGTAACCTTGGGAAAGTTATGAAGTCATCTCTTCTTGTGAGAGCTCCCTAGCCTTGGATCTAAAACGCAATGGAGAAACTATTCCATTATCATCCCAAATAAGGCATGGCAATTCAACTAAAAAGGAGTATGCAAAGAGCTAGGGTTGCCTTTGAAGGGAAATGACATTTACAAAAAAAAAAAAAAAAAAAGAAAAAAAAAAAAAAAAAAAAACACAAAGACAAAACATTTTACTTTATTTTTTTTTTTTTTTTATATGAGATGAAACAGTTATATATACATTTGAAATGTAACTTTGTTAAACAAACAAATTTTAAAGTGTGTTGCCATTGCAAAACATTTACAGAGATTTTACCAGTCATTTGCTGCAATTCACTGAAATTTAGCCAAAAATCTCAGAGTGTCCAAGTACTCAGGTCCCAATGATAAGTGAAGAAAAAAAAAAAAAGAAAAAAGAAGTTGACAATAGCTACTTTTTCCAATTCCATACTGTTTATATTAAATAAAATAAAATTGGGGTGAAAAAAATTTTTTCCTTTACATTACATACAATTCGTTGCATTAGCTGACATTTTCACCATGTTTTATTAATACATGAAATAAGCATGTAAATGTTCAAAGTGTACAATTATGTGAATATTTAATCTTCAGATAATTATCTTAATTGTCCGCATATGTATAACGATATTCAAGATACTTTAACTAGAAAGTGAAAGACTTGCTCAAGACTTAAATGGTCACTCAAACTAACCCTGTTTATATCAAAAACTTTAAGAACCAACATTTTCATCAATTTTCAATATCTGTTGCAAGTTTGGTATTTTTGGGAGAGAACTAGGGAGTATCCTTTTGAAACTAGATTCTGCAAGAGTTCATTACTTCAAGTCATTTACTAGTACTTTTTCCACAAAATTTAGAAAACATGTTTTTAAGTAGGGGGAAAAAAATTAGTAATTTTATAAATTACAGACAAAAAGTCACTGATCAGAATTGTTTCTTGTTATTTTGAGATCACAATTCTGAGAAATGCCTTTTTTATACACATACCTAAAGAGGAAAAACTAAAACCATAATTAATTCAAGGTTTTCCTCATTGCCTAAATTCAAAATACTATTAGTAAACTGTAGAAACTACCACACCATTTCAGAAATAAAAGTTTATTATTATTATTAATATATAATAATAATAATAATAATTATAATAATAATAATAATAAATAATAATTATAATAATAATAATTATAATAATAATAATTATAATAATAATAAATGGCCTCAAAAAAGGCCTCAGATTAATCAAACATTTCAGTGAGAGAAAAGCAAAAGAAAATACATTGTCAAATATGGCAGATATTAAAGAATGTTTCTTTTTCATGGTTACCTTTAAAACATTTGAAGAGCAATAATAGAAATTAAACATGTTTAACCATGAGTATTTCATTGCTAAATCTTTTGAGTATTCATCTCAGGAAGTTCAATGCAGCATTTGAGTTATAGATATATATAAAAAAAATTAAAAAAAAAAAAATTAAAAAAAAAAAAAAAAGTTATTTCATGTGTGATTTTCTTTTTTTAAAGCACAGTTCTTTTTGTTTTATCTGAAAAATTTAGAAAGAAAAATAAAAATGGAATAGCATTTATTTCTTTCAAATTTCAATTGGCAGGTAGATAAGTAACCCTGAAGGCTGGATAGGGTTAAGGAAAAGTGAAAGTTTTGTGGAAAAGCTGGATGCATTGATGTAAAGAAGTTTTGTTGGATAGAAGTTAAGAAAAAAAAAATAAATAAAAAAAATTAAGTCCTTAAGCTTTGGGATCAGATTGTAATTCTGGAGATTCAGTTTCTGAATTTTCTGAATTTTCAGGTAATGCCTGATTTTGTGTATGAGATTCCTTGGGTACATCTCCTTCTTCACGGATAAAGAGTTCAACTTTAAGCTCAGGTGGGTCAGAGACTGATAAGTTTTCTGCACTTTCTGGGGGAGTGGCATCTGCATGTGCTGCAGCTGCTGCCATTTCTTCAGTGTCAGGAATCTTTTTCAATATTTCCATTCCAGTCTCTTTTTGATTTTCTTCTACAGGTACAGTAACAACAGTTGCTGCTGCAGCAGCTGCTTCTGGTTCAGGTTTATCAGAGACAGGTGATTTTAAAGGAAAAAGAGCACTGGGATTGGCCATCATAGGCTGGGGTGGTATTAGAGGGACCTGCTGCGGCCGAAGTATGCTCAAAGACTCAAGTTGCTCCAAGTATATACTCTCCACTGCAGCTTTCTCCTTCCGTTTCCTGACAAAAAAAAAAAAAAAAAAAAAAAAAATAGATGTAGTTATTGCACAATCTCACAGGCTGAGAGAATAAGTTCTTTTGATTATCAATAGGTAGCTTAAAAGCCACACTGTGCAGACTTAAGCTAGCTCCTGCTGAAAGCTAACTGGGCCTCCAGTTCAAAACTAAAGGGATCTATTACAGAAAGGATTATTTTTTAACCTACTCAACCATTGCTGATGTTATTTCGAATGCTATGTCAGAAGCAATGAACTAATTGTCAGCCTTTCAAGATCAGCTCAAAAATATTTTATGTAAAACACTACATTAGGGAAGTATTGTATTAGATTAAAAAAAAAAAATTTAAAAAATTAACAGCTTGATACTGGTTTGCTAAATATCACAATGTACAGATTTTATTAAAGAGAAAAAGTTATCTCTTGCATTGGCAAGAATGTAGACTGTTTACAAGACACTAAAAAAGCCGAAGAGCAAAATACAATAATGAAAATGAAAATATCTGGATAAACTAATATATTAAATAGCTAGATAATTGTTCATGTGATTTATAACCCGACGAGAAGAACATGTAGGTAAATGAGGAACAGGCTGAGAGAATAAGTTCTTTTAATTATTAATAGCTAGCTTAAAAAAAAAATGCACTGTGCAGACTTTATACTAGTTCCTGCAGAGAGCTAATAGGGCCTCTGGTCCAAAAGTAAAGGGACCTCTGATTCAGCTTCAAAACCAGCAATGATAATTTTGAAGAATTAACTCTGAATTCCTCAATTCACTCCATGGAAATTCAAAACATCACTTTAACTCTGATTTGGGCTATAAAGTCTAATTCTGGTAAAAAAATAAAATTTATTCTCTCAAAGATTTGGAGGTATCTTAAAACAGAAATTTTTAAATTTGAAGTTTGGGTTACTTTAAATTCAGTATTTAAAAAAAACTTAATCAATTTTTTCCAGTTATTTTAAAATTTGAATTTTGAACTGTTCTCTCATCCAGAAACAAATCCCAATCCTGGATTTTCAATCCAGCGATCATCCCAAATTCAAAAAAGGTATATATCTATGTTGAGCAAGTGTGGCCTGAGTTAGAGGTGTTTCAGACACACTGACAGAGACAGACAGTATTTTCTGTTTAAGATGCTGGAAAAATATTTAGTTCCCTGTACTGCTCTAGTAAGTACCCAACTCCTATCCTCTACAAGAACCAAATCAGGCCAAAGACAGTGTACTGTTGCCCTAGATGGGCAGGGACTGCCCAGTCTTCACTCTCCGGTCTCAGTAGAGTCTGGAAGTGTCTCAGCATTCTTGTGGGCGACAAATTATTTCCCACCCTACAAACAAAGTGTTGCAAACCTCTCACTGCTTTAGCACTATTTCCATGGAAAGTGTTCAGACATACATTCCTTAGTTTCACCAGTTCTAACCATCACAACTAAGACCCACCATGCTACGCACATCGTAGCAGACCACCATCATTTCCCTTGTGCTTTGTGGAACTGACTCCCAAGAGGATGCTTTCCTAATCACTACAATCTTAACCTGTTCAAATCTAGAGTTAACTTATCTTCTCTACATATCTGCATAAAGTGTATGTCATTCTGTAAGCCTCTACCTTGAGTGGCTCCAGGCATTGTACAGGGTGAACATAAAGATGACAAGCCTTATACTCAACATACTTCAAAATGGTATATTTCTTTAACTTTTCATGTTGGTAAATGAAGATTATGTTGCCAAGTGCAGATATGTTGAATTGAATGGGTCATGTTACCTTATTCTAATGCAAATCTAGGAATAAGGTAACTCATTGCAGAGGAATAAAATAGGCAAATGAAAAGCGAAATATTTTTAATCAGGATAATTATTCCGTTTTGAAGATGAATCACCGCAGGTATTCCAACACATTGACAATTGCAAACCTAACTCAAAACACACCATAAACATGGCACTCCAGAAGACATGAGCCATCAGAGTTACTGTCTTTATTGTCAGCCACCATTCAAACAATATCCACATCACTGTTCATGTTACATTTAGGTTTATTTTGTTTTACAGCATATCAACACCTCAAGGGGTTATTTAATGTCAACAAAATTTATAGGATAGGTTCAAATGAATAGAGTATGTATTTTTTGTAAGAAATCAGTTCATAGATAAGGTTTCATAAACATTTTTGTTAAGAGGGTTTTTGTCAAGAGTCAAATGTATTGCTTGTAATAATTTTTCAAAAATGTATTGCTGGTAATAACCATTTGCCTATAGCTGGGGCCCTAACGGGTGCTACCACTCTGGGTTGGGGTGAACCTGGGAACAGCAATTAAAAGGTGGTTCCACATTCATCAAAAACTCCTATTCAGAGGCTTTGCTGTTGGATGTAGTTTGTCATACCCAGGATATCCCTGTTCAGGTAGATGATAGATGCTACCAAATACTTTTTTTTTTTTAGAAGCAACTGCTTTCTTACAAAAACTTTCCTCATTAATAACAGCAGGCTTTTGATAAAAAAAAAAAAAAAAAAAATGGAGCACACATGTACAAATAAATTTAAGCACTTTTGGAACATGTGAATGAAACAAATGAATGTTGAACAACTCAAATTTACAGAGTTGTGGTCATTAGAAATAATATTTGTAAATAGTATTGTGTGTTGAAGGTTGAAAAGCTCTAGACACCTGAAGATGGATATTATCTTGCTACATCAATAGGTAAGATTTCTAATTAAGGAAAATTGGAGAAGAAAGAAGAAAAAACTCACTTTTTCCATACAGCTTTTATAATCAAGAACACAATAACCATAATAAAAGCTCCAGCACTGCAGATAGCGGCAAATGTTCCTACAGACAATTCATGAATCGAAGGCAATGTTTTTGGTTTCACAGCCATTTCTGTAAGAGAAGAAAAAATTGTTTCTTTTAAATATATCAAGAAAGCATTGAATAATATCCAGAAACCTTGCATCGAAAGGTTTCAAATGCCCTCTTCTCATTATGCATTTTAAAAAGCTGATTATTCCTAGGTTTGTTTATACTTACTGTTACTACTGTATCATCAAGCTTATTCAAGTTTGGTGATTCTTAGAGTTTCAGATCATATTCATCTCAGTTTGGATTCACTAAAATTCCAGCAAAATTGATTGTACTGAACACACAAATCATCTTCAAAGTGATAAACCAAGACCAATTTGAGGAAATATTACCAGAGAAATATAAATATATATTAAAAAAAAACAAAAAAACAAAAAACAAACAAATTATAACAATGGCTGTTATAGACAGAAAAATTAAAAGTAAATAAATAAAATATTCTTACCAACACATGTATCATTGTTACTCTTTTCCCAACCAGGACAACAGTCCAATACAGATTTGGAGATAACAAATGTCTTGTTATAAGTCCGAGAACAAATTTTACTCCTACAAATATAAAATAAGAAATATTACAATTATGAATGTGCACATGCATGCACACAGCTCAAATTCACTTCCCCACTTAGAGGGGAAAGGAAAAAAAAAAAAAAAAAAAAAATTGCAATTTTTACAAATACCATATTTTTCACAATCTAAGATGACATTATTTTGAAAAGCAAATATTGAGAAAGTCCTATTTGAAAATTTTTTGCAGAACAAAACTTCAATATGCTGCTTTAAGAATTAATATCTAATGTCCTAAAAGAAAGACAAAAACTTACTTCCTAAGCCTAAGACAGAATTTTAGCTCTTTACAGGATTTCTAGACCAAAATCCCTATTTTTTTTTTCTTTTTTTAAATATATTCCAAATAGAGAAATTGTATTTTAATCTTAAATGTAAACATTAATACAGTTCCAAAACTGAGCTGAAAAATATCATACAGAGAAATCAATAACCATAAATGCTCTATTGCAGGAACCTAGTGTTCAGATTTGTATTGCTTAATGATCATAGATCAACAATCTGGCAATTGTCATAAATTAAAAAAATAAGAGTCAATATAAATAAGATGTACAAGTAATAAAAGAGGGGACTAATGCAGGCTCCCTCTAAGAAATTTGCAGACTATTACATTCAATACAATTACCATAAACTAACAATTTAGCAATTTAGAAGTATTCGGAAAAGCATCATATCACCATTGCTTACTTCTGTTGATAACGTCTTTGTAATCAAGCCAGCAGTAACAGTCCTGAGTAGAGACTACCAAGGTTAAAAGGATGTAAAATTCAAATTTTGTCATTAAAAGCTTATTTGAGTCAGGTTTAAATGATTGCAGAATAATGATCTGGGAGTTTTGAGATTTTTAAATTACCTCCCTTTCTGCTGTGCAACGATGGCCGAGGGGGTAAGACATCTGACTGATGTCAAATCAGTTGGGTCTTGAACCTGGCTTAAAGCAATCAGACATCTAGCCACACTGAGGAGCTGTGATACAGTGAAACAGTAAGTGAACATTGAAGTCAGACAGCCTGATGATCAAAACCCAAATGATTTGACAGTCAGATGTCTTACCCCTAGGCTATCATCGCACAGCAGAAAGGAAGGTAATTTAAAGTCTCAAAACTCCCAGATCATTATTATGCAATTATTTAAACCTGACTCAAATAAGCTTTTAATGACAAAATTTGAATTTTGCATCCTTTTAACCTTGGTAGTCTATTCAGGACTGTTATTGCTGGCTTGATGATTGCGTCCAGCATGAAACAGCCCGTTGTCTCCGAGTGTTGACTTCATTGTTTTTATATTTATATATGCTCTATCTCTGATATTGAGCACTTTATCCCATCAATATAGCACACCTTAAAACTCACTCATATATATATACATATATATATATATATATATATATGTGTGTGTGTGGCCTGACAATTGCCTGTAGCATGAAACAGACTGTCACCTCTAAGTGTTGACTTCTATGTTCACTTTTATATTTACACATTCTGATATTGAGCATTTTATCCCATAAATACACCACATCTTAAGACTATATATATATATATATATATATATATATATATAAAGAAAGTTAATGACAAGGTACCATCTACTACATTTGTAGGCTAAAAAAAATGTTTTAAATTACTTCAAATTGTAATTTTTGCCATTAGGTATTTGTTTTGGTAAACATGAACCTTTGTACACACAATAAGTTCAAGAGGGCAGTTTTTTTTTTTTTTAAACTACCTTCACTTTTCAGCAATGTTTGTTTTAAAGAGTAATAATTAGAATTGTGAAACCTAAACATGAAAGTTAATTTATACAGTTTTTTTGTTCTTGAGAACTGACAAAAATAAACATTAGATTGTTTATTTACACTTATTAGAATGGCTGACAAAATATGTCATTGATTTGAACTTTATAAAATGGTTAAAGATCTTCTTATAGTTGGTTCACATTTTAATTTAGTAACTGTTTATAAATTTATGAATAAAAAAATTTTCATATTTCTTTATAAATTGGTAAATGATAATTACTACATTAGTTTTAGTTGTATTAGTTTTTAATTATAAAATTATTCTTGTAAATAGACAAATAAATATTGTTTAATATTTGTGTTGTAAATTCAAGAATATAAAGCATAAATTCACTTTCATTTGTTTAGGCTTTATTACAATTCTAATCATTGCTTTTTAAAAAAACAAACATCATGAAAGATTGAATAAAATAAAATGAATATAAAATAAGTGTGATTAAAATAAAAGTGGTATGAGGAAAAATACTGTCCTTTTGTCACTTCATTTTATTGTAGGCATGAAAGTCCATGCCCACCTTTTTTTCTTTTTCTTTTTAACTAAAAGTATTAAAAATCAACATGACACTGTATGGTTATGGAAGATGTTGAGTTAACATTTGTACAATCCCACCTTTAGCACAATTACTATAATAGAATTACAGTTTAAGATTTCAGCCAATGCTACCTTAAAAGACAAGTAAAGAGTTAATAAAATTACCTGGAAATTTATTTTTTGCATACTTTTTGGCAGAGAGTCACAACTGTGTTTGTTGCAGTTCTATGAAAGAAGTGAGTTTTTGCAGGCTCAGGCTACTCCCAACATGCAAGATATACTTCTTTACAAGCCAACTTCATTTACTCATAGCTAGGTGAAAGGTGCACAAGTACATCCAAACTATGTACCAGCTGGTGTCTGAACTTGGGTCTTCCAATTTAATTATCCAGGCTGTTAACCCTTAAACCCAAAACACCTATCTGGCAAATATATAGAGTTGCCAAAAGCAACTGTCTCTGGGGCTAGGACCACCTACAAATCTTGTGGTATCCATGTGTTGTAGAAAGAAAAAAAAAAAATTGTATGCAATTCTTGCACAATACAGCATGTTTGGCATGCCTAAATACAGGTCCAGACAAATTAAATATCACCTTATTAATTTTATATTAATTTTGTCTCTAAACCAACATACCAATGATAGCACAAAAATTAAAAGTACCAAAATTTTCTTTTTCTTCTCTGTATTTCATTCCCTGATGAAGCTTTAATAAAAGTGAAACATGTCAAACTTATAAACGTTTCCTATTTGTTCATTATCATATCATTGTCAAATACACTTCTTTTAACAAAAAAAAAAAAAAAAGAACCAAAATTACCTGGTAAATACACAAGTGTCAAAAGAAAAAAAACCACAGGAAGTATTATACTTTTCTGAACAAAGTCTGGTGTCTGTAACTTCCCTTGTTCGATATTCTTTTAGGACTTTTTGACACCAACGACCTCTGCAAAAAGAGGAAAAGAATTACAAAATTTAGGATAAAATATACAAAAGGTGGATCAATAAATACACAGCTTGACCCTAGTTACCAACTGAATTTACATTTTATAATATTCAGTGTGATAATTCATCAAGGAGTTAGATTGACAAGAGAAGTGTTGAAAAATAAATGCTTTTTTATCATTAGGCTATACAAATGATGTATTTATTTACATAAATTATTTTGTTGTGAATTTATAGTTACATCACTTAGATGTTTGGTAAGCAGCTATAAATTAAAATCACAGATCTTTTATTGCCATTCTAAGGATAGAAATAAACATTGAAATATAAAAACAAAAATTTATCAAATTTCCTTTCCATAGATATTGATAACTAAAATTATCCATCATCACACGCCTCCACTTATCTTTTACCCCTTTGACTGCATCTCATCCTCTTCCTTATCCCTTCTGCGACCAGATATTGTTCTTCTGTCAAGGGTGAACCATAAAATCACCCTGGTTGAATTAACAGTACCATATGAATGCCGGATGGAACAAAGCCACGATAATAAAACTAATAAATATGAAAATCTAAAGTCAGAGCTAATAAAGGAGGGGTATAATGCAATTGTTAGAGCAGTGGAAATTGGAGCAAGGGGTTTCATTTCAGGCACTCTGTACCAATTCCTGGGCCAAATTGGAATCAAAGGGTGTAATAGGGCCAAAAGTATAAAACGCCTAATAGAAGTAACAGAAATACTCCGTGGAATGCTTCAGCGAACATGACGGCATGACACGACTGATCGTGAATGTGTAATGAGGTTCATGTTGCATTCTCAGAACGTGAGGTTTGCTGTTTTTCAGAATTTTTTAAAATTTAATTTCGCCATTACACATTTGAACTAGTTTATCTACAACACTTGTATATCGTTATAATAGAGCCTCACATCAGTGAGGAGGGCCGGTGTGCAACTGAAACCGTTGAGAGGAAGGCCCTGAAACGGTGCACATTCTCTCCTGATGACCCCAGTTTAAAATTCGAGAGGAACACATCAAATTCAGTGAAGTCATATGCCGTAGTGAAACTCGGCGAAAGTGTCATTGGTATGAGGAGCATTACACATTCAGCTCGCTTCAGGTGAGTTTCAATTACTTTCCAGTAATTTCCTTCTAATTTTCATTGCTAGGAGGTATGTAATTGACCCAAATTTCATTATCCCACCCCCGTTTTTTTTTTTTTTGTTCTTGCTGCTGCTGCAATATTTCACACCTTTGATTGGAATTTCAATATACTTGTACTGTAACAGCTAGTTTATACTTTAAGTCTTGAAGCTGATGCCTAACCTTGTCCCCAAAAATTTATATATCTTTAAAAGAGCTAATAGGAGATTTTGTTAAACTATAGTCAGCTTACTTTAACCAACTTACACTAAATTTAAGTCTTTGTTCCAGATTTTATTCCTTTTAATTCTGCTTCTGAATTATCTTCCATTTTGATAAAAGCAATGCAGAGATAAGATTCCCATTTCATTGTCTGATAAGGTTTCCATCTAAATTTCATTAGTTTCATGCATTTAAAATGAACAAATACACTTTTAATCATTTAACTCCAAGCAAGGTAATAAAGCCACTAAGACACAGGGTTACAGAGTGTGAGAATGAGAAGAAAAAAAAACAAAAAAAAAACAGCAAATTTTCACTTCTTCAGACTTATTGCACTCAAAGCATGAAGAATTAAAAAACAATGTTTTTGTTACAAAGAATTGCATATTTATATAATCTGATTGCTCTGCCTTATTTAGCCATCGAGTACTTTGTTTTTATGTAACATTTCCTTTTCATTAAAAATACATACACAGGTAATTTTTTTTTTTTTAAAGATAAAAAACGGTGCATTTTCAGTAACTGGTCCCACTATAGTTACTTTTTTTTCTGGACGGGATAAAATTCATGCAAAAAATTTTTTGCTTAATACTTTAATTTTTAAGGAATAAACTTATTAAAAAGGTCATTTACTCGATTCTCTTAAAATACGGGGTTACTTCCCTTGTATTAAATTCAAGGGACATTACTTTGCCTTTTTAAAAAGGGTTGTAAATTGGATGATTTCTATATAGGTAAAAATAATTTTACATTGCATTACCGATTTTACACAAATTTTGATTTTGTAAGTAAAATATAGACACTGGACCGACATATTTAGGATACATTTTTTTTTTTTCAAGTCACCCCCGCCACTCTGAAGGAAACTACTTCTCCCTTCACATCCGCGTCCTGCAGAACAAAGGTTACTTTCTCTCTCCCCACTAAGATTTTGAAAGCTAAAATTGGGGAGTGTCCTCAACACTCGGAAACCCGGAAATACCAAAATCTTTCAGTCTACCAAGGCATATGCTTTGTTACTATTTAATGACCAGACATTTGAAAGTATGATCACATGCAAAGATCAGTGCCAATTTTAGAAATTAATGTGTTACATTCTTAAGCCTTTTTCTAACATTGCTTTGTTGAGCTAAGTTTCTGATCCTGTTAGTAAATGGTAAAAACTAGCCAATCCAAACGAATAACAGTAGACTTCAATATCTTCACTTATTTCTGCTTTAAAAGCTAACCTCTAAAAACACAGTATAAGTTACTTTTATGCTCGGCTCCCATGCTAATGTGTTCCAGTAGTCAAATGAGTATCAATTTATTACAAAAAGCAACGAGATTGAGCAAAGTAATAAAAATCCAGTTTTGTAAATATGGAAGAAATAAATTATGGGTAAAGAACATTTTTATCCTGCTTTTGTTTCAAGTAGACTATTTTTGCCTCTTTTTTTTTTTAAAGGTTACCAAGCTGGGGAGAAAAAAAAAAAAAAAAAAAAAAAAAAAAAATTAGAAAAGTCTGTGCACATAAAACATGATCCAAGTGCAATCAAGATAATTCAAGTGCCACTTAAACGTAGTGGCCGTAAAAAGACGTTTAAAAGTATCTTGCATTAAACAATGAAAAACGGATCAAGATACACTGGATCAAAATTACATTAAGGTATCCAAACAAGGTAGTTAGTAAAATAGTTAAAATAGCCTTTAAAATCCACCATTAAAAAATGTTTATCACAATTATAAAAACAGTAGCCTTTCATCAGGAATTTCTTCAAGTGCAGAATTTTTTTTTTAATAAAGTAGTACGAATTGACATTTGGATTTTAATCCTACAAAAAGGAACTACAATTACTAGTTTTAAGTGTTCTCAAGGAAAGGAAATTAAAGTTTTTAAAAGACCTTAAATTTACAATGCACAAGGAACAGAGTAGTTCTTTAGGCACATTACAAAACCACTTAGATATTTGATAGACATTCACTGTTATGTATATTCAGTGTATTTAAAATACATGTAGATTATATACAAAATATAATTAAAAAATGCAAAACAACTGCTCAAAAGACAACAATGAATCAAATTTAAGTGGAAATGTGAAATGTTTATTCTAAAACTTCTTTTGAACAGAGAATGTACTCCACGCGGGTAGGAGGAGTAGAATTTCAGCAAGAAGAGCCAAAATTATTCCATGTCTGAGCATGGAGTCATGCTATGGTTTAACTGCTTAAAAAAAAAAAAAAAAAAAAAAAAAAAACTTATTTTGTAGCCATTATAAAGGGGCACAGAATAAAATTCGGAAAGCCTGACCTGAAACAACCATTTACTAGTCAGCAAAACATGGTGTACAGAATGAAAGAAGGATGACGACCGAATCTTTTATGGACAGCCATTAAGGAAACATCCATGAGAAGTGGGCTTCAAAATTCTTGATTATAGTTGAAGTCAGAAGTTAATATTTTTTGCACTCCCCTCCCACATTATCTCTTCCCATGTCATGAAACATGTGGGGGGGGGGATTGTGTGAAAGTATTAATAAAATAATACTAACAATGATTTTCATTCTGTCATGACTAACTACAATCTAATTAGATAACTCATAATAATTAAACTTATCAATTTGTTTATTTTTAAGTTGCATGTGTTAACATAGGTAACTCCGAGATCACTAAAAAAAAAAAAAAAAAAAAAAAAAAAAGAGCAGAACATGAAAGAAAAAAAAAAAAAAAAAAAAAATTCTATTGTCTAAATGTTTGTTATTATTGAGAGGAAAGACCAAAGTTTAAAATTTTTCCTTCTTTTTAGAACATTCTAAATTTTGATTAAAAAACCTTGTTTCTCTTTGTATCACAAAAACTAGCAAAATAACATTACAAAAAAAAAAAAAGAAAAAAAAAAAGTGCTAAAGATTGTATGACATACATTAATTTGGAAAATTTTGCAAAAATAAAAACAATTGTCAGATGTTAATGAAAGTTTCAGAAACTATTCATAGATGAAAGTATTTTTTTTTTATTAAAGTAACGGCAAAAATATTTTTTTTTCCATAAATGAAATATCAAAATTAATAATAAAATGAATGGAAATACAAATAACATGGTAAAATGTAATAAGCGTACATAAAATTATAGTATTTTATGTACACTTCTGATAAAATTTCATAAGAAATAAATTAATTAGATACCTTTCTTATCAAACTTAATCTCACTCTTAACAGTCTTATTTTAATTTCTTTATATTTTCCATAAAGCATCGTAAATGTAAAGGTGAAAGCTAAGTACAAAAAAAAAAAAAAAAAAAAAAAAATGCTGAAAGTTTTCCTTAAAAATAAGGTAAATAACTTGTTCACTTAAATATAAATAATTTCACTTTTCTCCTTCCATAGAACAAGTTATCCTCATATAATCTGTCAATACGTCATTCATCACCTGTCAAGTGACACAAAATGTTATGACCTGCTTTGTTTAATTTTCAAACTACACCTTTTCGACGCAGAAACTAAATAGTGCTGGTTTCAAAATATTTTAAATAAACACAATTTCTGATTTTCTTAAAATAAAATTTTGAAAAAATAATTGATTTTTAAAAGAAATTCAAACAGATTTTCATTTTTTTTTTTTTTATAAAAAATGGAAAAAAATGGCTGACATGAATATC